GGGCTGAATTGCACAAAACGCATGATCGCACCGGCTAGTCTGGTGCGCGTTGCCATTTATTACAATAACACCGCTACTTAGAGTTACTTTAGGCTTTAGTTTACTTTAGTTCTAGCTTTAGACCCGAACTTTTGTAGCACTGACGCCTTTGCCGCTAAAGTAAACTAACGTGCCTCTATTCCGCAAAAGTGAACTGAAGTTAGGGCGAAAGACCTTTCGCCCTCTTCCCCCTCCGCCCCCCTCTCCTCCGCTTATGCTTTGCATTGTCAATTGGGGAACAAAATGGATCAGCCTAATAGCTGCACGGAGACCATCGCTTGGATGAATTTTAAAAGATGTAGTGCGCCTAGTTATTACTTATAGTGAGTAGCCAATGAAGATAATTAGTCCAGTGCATGTGGAGATGGTATGGCTGTGCTTGACACCCTTAACGCAGTAACATCGAGAGTTCACTGGTGCGGACAATCTGGATGCAAATTCTTGTCTTTATTACTGAAAAAATGATGTCTAACATTCCGTTATTTTTATGCGTTTTGTGCTGTGTAACAGCAGTACAAAACGCATATTGTCACGGGGTTGTCTCTGTGTGTGTTAGTGTGTGTGTGTGTTTGTGTGTGTGTGTGTGTGTGTGTGTGCCCGCAGCAACTTGTCCGCAACTTTCAACTCGGGAACCACAAAAGCTAGGAAGCTCAAAATTTAAAAGAATGTTCCCCACCGGCATAAAACCACACGAATTTAAATCCAGCCTTCCCGTACCTACAGGTAACATATACGGTTCCGTGAAGCTTTTGGTGTGTAAATTATTATCTAAAAAGCTAAAATTTTGGGGGACTGTTCCCTTCCCCGTGCAGCCCCTCAAATTTAAATTCAGAGCAGTGAAAATCATTAGCAAGCAATCGTTCAGTGGATGGGATCGTACAAAACGCTTGACCGCACCGTCTGCCTTGGTGCGCGCCGCTGTTTTTTTTTTTTTTTTTGTGGTAATGACGTGTGAATTTCAGGTACAGTTGTGGTGTCGAAAAAAGCATCCCGCTCGACAATATTTCACGTTACAAGGTGCTCGATATTGTTAAGGATTTGGTCACTGGCAAAATTTCATGATTTCCTTATATGTCCGCATGAACTAGGAAATTAGTCATCGTTCTGATATTGTTAAAATTAAATTCAGTATCGGAAAAAATCAAATATTTTAGGAATTCCTCTAGCTGTGCTTTTGCATTTTTCCAGTTTCGTGAACAAATGTGCCGAATATGCAAGAGCCAAACGCTAAAATGAAACATAGGGGGTGCTGAATAGCACCCATACATAAAAGAAGTGATCGCTTCACGAAGTCTAAGACCCACGAAATTCCTTAATTTATTGCTTCGCAATCCAACGGCAGAGATCTTAGCGGTTTGGGAGTGAGTACATTGAAAAATCATGTTCAGCGTAGCCGAAGTTTTTAAAAATTTCGCAGAACTGAGTTGAAAAATTGCTTCGAAGTTAGGAAGAAGTTTTTTCTGTATGTCATCGTTCGTTGTAAATCGTTTTTGGACTTTATTGGTTCTAACTTTTTAATCACGGTAGCACCGCATCACCAAAACGGGGTGCTAAATTCATGGCTTTTATAGGTTTTTTTTTCGTTCTGCATTGAAAGGAACTGAGTAAAATATTTGACAAATTTAAGTACCTTGTGGGAATTCGTAGTGTATTGTTGATTTTAGTTTAAATTTGAATTAATATGGTTAAACAGGTGACAAACGAATTGTTCGAGGAGCACTGTTTTCGCCCCCCACTGCATGTTTAAAATCGGCTTTATTCCCAATATTTGCAATATGATACTGCAAACCGACTAATAAATACTGTTTTTCTTTTTTTGCTTTTAGT